TGTAAAGTAAGAAGTGCTTGAGTCGTGTTCAAGCACTTCTTGATAGGGACACATTTTGAGCGCATGTGGTGTATTTAGGGTATTTAATATCTTTGCCATATTGAACCCCGAATGTTAAAGTAGCGCGTTACTTAACAGCGTTATTATAGACTATCGAACTTGTCTTTTACTTTTCAGTTTTTATTTGAAGTAATATTTAAGAAGTAGGGTGTTTCCGTTTTTTAAATTTATTATTTGTATATGAAGGTGTTTATTGAGCCTTTTATATTTTTTACTAGCTGACTCGGCGCGCGGCGAACTTCGTACCGCTTATAATAATTTGGAGAGAATGAAAGCTATCCGTTCGCAATTTTGCCATATTATTTTTTGACAAACATTTCAAAACCAAACTCAGCTAAATCGTTTTATCGAGACGAACGAACAGCAATTGATTTTGATATATTGTAGAAAATTACTATTTTTGAGTTATTACGTACCTTTTGATCCTTATATCACCAGTAGCGCCCCCCATGTCAATGCCATAAAAGTGCCATAAGGTCTTATACCAGCTCATGTTCAACTGCACCATCCAATGAACGACCACTGTGATCTATTCAGGTTGTTCAGTGATAAGTCACAAAGGAAGCCAGCATATAAAGAAAGATGAAGCATGTTGTTTAGAATTAGATTCTCTATATTCACAATCACCATAATTTTAGACTGCCAGATTCAATAAACACAATAACGTTATTATTTAACTGTCACTTAAAACTTAAATAATTTGAATATATACCCTTAGATTACAGAACAAAATGCAGATGGAATGCACGGAACACGCGAGCGCGGTCACCAAAGCAAATACGAAGTCAAAAATAGACTTTTTTTTTAGACAAAAATAGACGACATCGTATTTACTTCATAAAATTTTACTTCCACTAATTTTTACATAAAATATTATTTACATTTATTTATGAAACCACGTTTCCGCGTGTGGAAACGTGGTTTTTCTAGTTGACAAATTTACGTTTCCACTCAATTTTCACTCTCAAATAAGTGAAGACATTATTACAAAAACCACCATAGTCAAATTAGTTAGTTCTACACTACAATAAAACTTCTTTGCATATTCATATTTAACATTTTATATTTTAAATGCTATTTATAATGATTTGCACTATATTACCTATCATTTTGCAAAATTGGGATTTTATGAAATATTTAAATTTCCATAAAAATCTTGAGCTAAACTTAAGAAGGATATGAGAAAAGTTCCTTTTGAAAACTGGAAATTAAAATGAGACAAGTGGTTCTTGAAGGAAATATTCAAAATTAAAAGACAAGGAAATTAAATATGTATGGTGTACAGTTATACTGTACAGGTAAACCTGTCAGGTTAACCCCAGCGTGTATGGGTACGGCCAGAGTGCACTCAGATTCAGATTCAGACTCAGAAAACAAGCGCGAGAAATAAACAGTGTACTTAGTTAAAGCAGGGTGGCACTCTGGCCGTACCTTGCTTTACGAGGCCAAGAAGTATTATTGTTTAGCATTTTAAGAATAAATTACAATAGAAAAATCAAAAACATCAACAGTAGAGCACAGAGAAACCGCGCAAAACTAACTTAATATGTCAGTTTGTTTGACAGCTTTATTTTTTCTTCTAACATCTACATCCTATGTCCACTGACTTAACTGCTTTTTGCCGTACCTAACCATAGTTGACAAAGGTTATTTTTGAAGAAATTGATACAACGGATAAACCCAAATATCTCACGACTAAACTTGTTTTCGAAGAGCTATTAAATGTAATCATAAAGCTTACGAATTCGTCTACAAGATGGCGTAACTATCTTTTAACATGAAATTTTTGACAAATGTTAGTAGAGCTTTGAGCTTTGGTCATCGACTACGACTAATCACCGACCAAGGCAGTATTTTGCTTTCTCCATGGTAGAGCTTCATTGGCATCGTAGTGAGTACATTTTTTACTAGATGGCGTTCTTTAAAAACAAAGTATTTCACGTTTCCTCGGAATTTTAATCTAAACGTAAAAAAATACTCTGTTTTGGAGTACTAGTACTATTTATAGACGACTAAAATTAAACATTTTCCATCCCCCTCTCGGGGGATGACCGCTTCAGATGAAGCTTGTAAGGCCCTTCTGGCCATAAGCATGATTAAAGGGTGTTTTTTAGTCAGTAAGAGTCTGACATAACCCTACAGCCGGCTGTAAAACAGAGTATTTGTTTACGTTTAGATTAAAATTTTTATTGTAGTGTAGAACTAACTAATTTGACTATGGTGGTTTTTGTAATAATGTCTTCACTTATTTGAGAGTGAAAATTGAGTGGAAACGTAAATTTGTCAACTAGAAAAACCACGTTTCCACAAGCGGAAACGTGGTTTCATAAATAAATGTAAATAATATTTTATGTAAAAATTAGTGGAAGTAAAATTTTATGAAGCAAATACGATGTCGTCTATTTTTGTCTAAAAAAAAAGTCTATTTTTGACTTCGTATTTGCTTTGGTGGCCGCGCTCGCGTGTTCCGTGCATTCCATCTGCATTTTGTTCTGTAATCTAAGGGTATATATTCAAATTATTTAAGTTTTAAGTGACAGTTAAATAATAACGTTATTGTGTTTATTGAATATGACAGTCTAAAATTATGGTGATTGTGAATATAGAATCTAATTCTAAACAACATGCTTCATCTTTCTTTATATGCTGGCTTCCTTTGTGACTTATCACTGAACAACCTGAATAGATCACAGTGGTCGTTCATTGGATGGTGCAGTTGAACATGAGCTGGTATAAGACCTTATGGCACTTTTATGGCATTGACATGGGGGGCGCTACTGGTGATATAAGGATCAAAAGGTACGTAATAACTCAAAAATAGTAATTTTCTACAATATATCAAAATCAATTGCTGTTCGTTCGTCTCGATAAAACGATTAAGCTGAGTTTGGTTTTGAAATGTTTGTCAAAAAATAATATGGCAAAATTGCGAACGGATAGCTTTCATTCTCTCCAAATTATTGTAAGCGGTACGAAGTTCGCCGATAGACGACTAAAATTAAACATTTTCCATCCCCCTCTCGGGAGATGACCGCTTTAGATGAAGCTTGTAAGGCCCTTCTGGCCATAAGCATGATTAAAGGGTGTTTTTAGTCAGTAAGAGTCTGACATAACCCTACAGCCGGCTGTAGGGTATCCATGAGGATTTCTCACCCTCTCCCCCGCCTGGAAGGAAACAAAAAAAAAATAAACATTTTCTGAAAACTTCATCTTCATTCACTTCATTTACAAACAATATCTTCTTTATTTTGAGTCAGTTGTGAATTTTAAACTGAACTATTAAAGCTGGTAGATAAAATACAATGCGTAAACTAATTTTCAATATAGTCTTCATGTCCCACTAGATGGCGTTCTTCAACCCTAAGAAAAAAAATCACGATTAAACTTTTAGATTGGATAGTAGTTTTTATTTTCACAGACTTATAATATTAATATTTTTTTATGGAAAATAACGATTTTCAATTCGAAAATAAGTACACGTCACCGAAAGAATAAAGGGGACAATTTTACGAAGATTTTTTTAGGCATATCACCCCTTTTTTTAACCTTTAACACGTATTTTTTAATTTGTAATAAAAACTCTGTGTACTTCTATATTTACCAGATCTCTAGCATGATATTTTATGGTCTACAAATTTCCATCGCCTAATTTACTGGTGAGGGTTTTTACTCTCTTTAATTTAAAGGCCTTTTAAATTACATTAAGACATTTCAGTCCCATCGTTACTGTAGGATATTTATATTCAAAAATTCCCATGACTGTTCTAATTTTTCAGACGTATTTTTATTATTAAAGGAGCAAAGCTTTATACTTACAGCAAATTTGCTAAATCTCGATTAAACTAAAACTAAATTGAACCCATAGAGAAATATCAAAACATCAATGTGAATTTGACATTATTGTATAGGCTGAATCTAGTTTAAGTTAAATTGAAATTAAGCAAAATTGCTGCGTAAAGAAAGTGTATAATTTCTTATTTTTTTGTGGTTTTGTTTTTATGAAATCGGTTTTTATTTTAGTGAAAAAAGTTTTTTTATTTTTCTCTTTTAATAAGACAAAACAACATCAAATGACTAAATATAGATGTCTAGTCTGCAATCACAGTTTCATATTTCTTAAAATAACCGAACACGACATATTTACTTTTCGCAATTGAGGAGTTCCGTTGTTTATATCCGATTTTCACCATATTAATATGAGACCATCTCGCTAATAAACTCTAAGAAACAATAAAAGAATCATAAAAATCTGTCCACTAAACTCGGAGAACTAACGAACAACAATGAAAAGAAATATAATGACGAATTGAGATCCTCCTCCTTTTGGGAGTCGGGTTTTAAAAACCACTAAAATGTAAGAAATAATAAATAATAATAAACTTTATTTTTATAAATAATGCATATTCATTACTTATACATATTTACATTTAAAGTCAAATTAACATTTGGAGTAGGTGCCAGACCAGCCCAAACCAAGTCCAGTAAATGGCACAAATCAAATCAGTATACATGGCACCGACTCCAAATGATAATTTGACTTTAAATGTAAATATAGGTAAAGAATATGCATTATTTCTTACATTTTAGTGGTTTTGTTTTATGAAGTCGGTTTTTATTTCTGTTAAAGGTTTTGTTGTTTGTTTACTGATAAGTACTGGCTTTCCACAACTTGAGGTACTTTGAAAATTATGATGATCATCAGATCATCATAATTTAGAGATAGACATATCTTCAAAATTAAAGTCTACTATCGACATCGTACCCCGCAACTTTTGAGTTTTCTAGTATTATGGAAATCCATATTATGAAGGTTCAAAAAACGACAAAACATCGAAAAGGTAGATCCCTTGCGCTTCGCTGGACAGATTTAACATTCAATTGTATTGTATGTATTCTCTATGAAGCCACCTTTGTAAAAAATACTTTTCAATTCAATACTACCAGGATGAATAGTAAAAAATACTCAGGTTTTAAACGTTTAATTTATATTTATAACATTATATTATTTGTAAATATAGAGTTTATTATAAGAACTATATGTATGTTCGAGATAGTCATACTCATTCTAATATAACTTAGAGTACGTAGATACAATTACATAGTATTATGAAAACTATATAAAGTACATACCTACGACATTTGCATTCACAACTTAAAAGATTGCATAACATACTTAATAAAAAGGTACATCTATAGGCACATAAGTGGAATATATATAATCTTATAACATCTGATTTAACAAAACTGAGGTATAGTGGATCCGATTCAGCTCAGACACGCTTCGGATCATAATTACATACTAATACTTACTAGAAACATTACTCCATTATCAGTTTCCAATAAGAAAATGCCTAGTGCTTATTGGTAAGGGAAACACAAAAGCACAACTTATGTGCAACTACTGGAATGTCCTAACATACATCAAACGATATCTTTAAAATAAAGGCACAACTCAGTGAGACCTGTCTGTGTAGTTCCTACACACACCAACTTACGTAAATTACGTAGATATGCGAATAATATAATCGTATCTATGGCATTTTCAAACTAGACTAAAGTAACAAATCAGTCTTCCAATGAATTACAAAATAATAAGTATTGAGAGAGTTAACTTAAAACAATATGACATAATTAAACATTATTTTTTACACCTTAACGCAGGTAGTTATTGAATTGATAAAATATTATGTAACAGATTAAACGAAAGTACCGATTCACCCATATTTCTTTCTATAAACACAAGTGTAAACAACCCACATAGACAGATACATTTATTACTGTAATATGTAATATTTTACCTACTAAATTGTACACAACAACATTAAAGTGTCCTATGATAAATGATCTGCAAAACATTACACTCTATCATTGAAAATAAACTTATGATTAGGTATATTTTTACGTATAACAGCGAATTGCGACAAATTTCTTTTATGTGTATTCACCAAAACTTACATAAACATTGAGCATTTTACTAAGATAATGATTACGACCATGCTTGAACTGTACATGTTTAGAATACATATGAAAGTGAGCACAGCTAGTTACTAACAACAAACATCATTAATATTATTATGGCAAACGATAAACAGTTAAATCAATTCAACCCGTAACGTATAGGAATTAAAAGGGAGAGATAGTACGTATATTAAAGTCGCTATTCGCAGTGTCATGAGCTTCGCACGTCGCACTGTGCTTCCCAACAACAATCCCTCTAGACTAGGTAGTCTTTAAAATAAGTGAAGTGTTAAATTTAACTGCTGTTGCAAACATGGCATGGTACGACGCGGAGGACTAGAGTTAAGCTGTAGCGAGCGTGAGGTAGTAGCGGCGTTTCAGTCTATAAACATCACAGTCGCGGACAACAAATTGCACAATAATTCGTCTAGGGGCGGCCCGCCTGGGGCGCGGCGTTATACCTTCTTACCTTTCGGCCCTACACTTACCGGTTACCGCTCCGACTAACAAAATTTTTAAGTCTAATTAAAGCTAACCTATTCTGCTAATCTATCAACAAAGATGTAATAGAAATCATAAAGTTATAGAAGAAAAAAAACAAAAATAAAATCACAAAGTCACCGCCTGTCGTCTAACGGAAATTTTATTTCGCTATCGAACATAGACAGTGTGAGAAAATAAATAAGAAGAGAGGTAGAATAGAAGTGGCCGCGGGGCCCATTGCAATCGCCCGGCCGGAGCGCCAGGTCAGAGTGGCTTGCGCGCGCGGCGCGTCCTACCAGTAGCTTACCAATATGTACCTTACTTCTAACTTTGTTTGTACGCCTAAGTCAGTCTTTTTTAATGTTCATCTGAACAACTTTTCTGTGTTCAATCTCTTTCGCTACTGCAATCCAAAGCAAAGTTTCGGGGCGGAACAATAACACCGGACGGAGGCTCTAGATCGTGTCGACGTGACACTGAAAGGTCTTCAACATGGTCATCATCTGGAATGGGTGACCGCGGCGATTGCGGCGCTGAGCGAGGAGGGGTTCGCGGGGCCAACGCCGCGTGAGCTGCGGCCGCTAAAGCCATAGCATGTAGTGCTTCGCGACCGCCGTCTCTCGTCGCCCCCTCTAATGCTTGTTGCAGGAACGATGGATCAATGAGAGGCGTACTAGGGTTTCCTTCCTCATTATTCCCCGCACCGCTCAGGCCGTAAGGGAAAGCGGCTCCGTTTGACTCCCTTTTTACACCGCGACTCATCGGCCTACTAGTAGTTATACCTAGTTTCTTAACTTTATCGTACAGTGTACGTGATGGAACGCCGTATTTACGAGAGGCTTGTAAAGCGCTCATTCCATTCCTAACACATTCGATCGCGGACATGATATCGGATCTAGTGTATTGTTTGTATCGCTTCCATTCTGGCTTTTGTTGTGGCGGAACATATGGTGCGAGTCCTGCTCTAACATCTTGTTGGAAATTGGTTGGTGGTGGAGAAGGATGAAAAGTGCGCGAGTTTTCTTCTTCGAACGAACGTTCCGTGTAAGGGGAATGAGCGTCTTCTGATCTATCTGATCGATTGTAATGTGGTGAAGATGCTCTTGATGATAATCTGCGGGGACGGTAATCGAACGGCCTTTGCGGACTGGGGGCTCGCTCAGATTCGTGTGCAGATCCATTAGAATGGAGAAGGGGAGGTGCGCTGTTATTGACTGGGTGACAAACAAGAGAGATTGGTTGTGAAGAGTCAACTGGGGTCGATTGAGCGAGGACGTTACGTAGGATGGGAGTGTCACGAGTTGCAAGCATGCTAGATAATTTTTTGCGCTTCAGCGGGTTCATGTCTGTTGAGTCATAGGCGGCTGAGAGGACCGGCGTGGCTGGTGGAGGTGGCCAACGTGAGGCCGGAGCGGAAGCTGGCGGGGACACACTGGAGGGCGCAGCAGGTACCACTCGCGGAGGTGATGCAGCAGGCGTCCGCTCGCTGGTTCCAGGTCGGCGGCGAAGCTCTGTCATATCAAACAAACCTTTGACCTCCAATTGTTCCGCTACCTTCATGATCCGCGGTATCTGTGCTTGAGTCACGTTCACCTCCCCCGTGTACATGTATTCGAGAAGGGCCCGCATTTCGAAATCTTTGACTCCAGGAAAAAGGATGCTGCAGTGGTCCATTGGTACATCAGCCAGTATCGATTGAAAGTAAGGGGAGTTGGCGGCAAGAACCACTCGATGGGCCTTGAATGTGACTTGATCATCGACCACTAATGTGCAGTCCACATAGGTCTCTACTTTGATCAACGCTTCCAAAATTTCCACTAAGTTTGTTTTGTGATGATTCCATTTTAGGCAGAAAGTCTGTTGGCCTTCGCTGCTCCCCATTTTTTTGAATTGGTATTCTGTGAACAAATTATTTTTTATTTTAATCATTTAAGTAAGTACTGCTGCAATTTAATATCGTTTTTTTTATTGTTAGTATTATACAATTACTTTGGATAATTATGATATAAACTAACTTGATTTTCATCAAAATGCCCCAATCATACACAAAATGCCCCAAAGTAAGTAGAACATGTTTTATTTATACTGGATAATAGACATAATAATAAAATGAGTAAAAAATAATAATATTTCAACGCATTAGAAACATATATGCCTCATCTAGGATTAGAACCCGAGACTTGTGTCGTCAAAAGCAATGTTTAAGCCGTAGCGCCAACCGCTCAACATAAAAAAACATTTATATCAAAAGAAAGTTTTGTAAGAAAACAATCCACGCGGACCAGGCAGCAGACGGGAATCGAACCCGCGACCTTCGCTATCCGGGCTAATGCACTGATCATTATGCTACCGCGGCCCTGACGGTCATGTCGAAATTTCTCTAACCTTTCTTAGGCTGCAAGGCAGCGCCATTTCTTCGCACTGTAGGTATCCCTCAATGTTTTAAGCATTTAACTGCTAGATGTTTAAATCTAAAGAAAATTTTGTTCGAAAAATATCCACGCGGACCAGGCAGCAAACGGGACACGAACGCGCACCCTTCGCTAGCTTCGCTAACTACATGTACAAAATATTATTTTTGGAAATTGTGAAAGCTTTCTTTTTGATTCAAATATTATTATTAATAAACAATATGAAATTATGAATTATTCCATTTAAATTAAATCTACTCAATAAGAAATAAGTACTATATATAAAAAAAAATAACAATCATAACCATGTCATGACATTGCGATACATAATTATTTATCACCATAACAAATGTAAACAAACATCATAACATAATCAAATAAAAATACATTCAAACATACCCGGCAAAATTCCTTCAAAGGTTGACCCTGGATACATCTTGGAGTCGGCCGCCTCTCAGACTAGTTTCGGCGAACTGATAATACAACGTAAGTCCGTAGCAAACAAACCAACTAACTGATCACAAGTGCAGCGCGTTGCGAGCACAGCGCGTCAACAATCAGCGACCGCCTAGCTTGGACGATCGGCGAGTACTAGCGCGACTGCCCGACTGCACCGCCCTTCCCCCATTTACATATTTCGCTCTATAGCCCTTCCTCACTGCCAAATTGACTTTTTACCTTTTATTCGGCAGGTAAATCGAAATAGGGGATTGATGAAAGCACCGGCGTCCCTCCTGTCAGGTTACTTACGAATTGGCACCACACGAACTCACCTAAACAAATTCTTATTGACATCACACGAAAGCCTGAAATTCGCTAACAGACTTGTAGAGTTGTAGAGTACCTTGTCTACGAAGTTTACGTCTACGAGTCGTAGTAACTACACGTCTACAATACTACTACTTTTAAATGAATGTAACTTACTTTTTTATGTAAGGAAATCCAGTGTCGGGAGGTCAGCGTCAAAGCGAAATGTTCATATAAGTCATGAAAACTTTTTACACGGTCACTCAAAAAGTTCGTATCGCGTGCGGGGTTATTTCACAAAAGCGTTTCGAAGTCGCCCTTTGGTGGGCGGCGAGCTCTTGCGAGCGTCTAGCGATGACTGTTGCGTTGCAGGCAGGCGCGTCCGCGGTCTGGTGGCCGCCCCCGCCCGTCCCGCTCCTCCTGCGTGCGCTTTTTACGCACGCACCGCGCCGGAGTGCAGTGCAATTGCGTGCGGGCGGAGGGCGCGGGACGCGAGCAGCGCGCCGCGCCCGACGAATTGCAGCGCGCTGCGAGGAGGGCGCGCGCCGCTGTGTGCGTGAGTGCGCGCGCGCATATCGCGCTCTACCCCAGTGTGAGCCGAGACGATGCCATAAAGCCGATTTTGGCTTATAAAAAATTGTTGCTTCGCCTCGCTGTCCTTTTGTATGTTAACACTGGACTCTCGGACTATTCATCAAAATTTAGTTTGCCTTGCTAATTATCATAAACATTTAATTAATATGCATCGCTGCTCTAACATGAAAATGACAGAAAAACGTAACGTTTTCTGTGTATTTCCATTCTAATGGTTTAAGCGATTACGCAAAACTCATCACCTTATGCATTTTTGATCTTATGTAGGTTAACTGACAAGTATTTTTCTTTGGTAAAAAAAACTTTGGTAGGTACTCACCAAAAAAAATTTTTTTGGCATATTCAATAAATATTATAATTCCATACCTAATCATGTCAAAGAAAAACATGATAAATATGCAAGAAAATTTAATTTTAAATTTGCGATTTTTTTTTTGTTTCAACTTCAACCGCGTACCCGCGGAACGCAACGCCCGCTGTAAATACGTTCCAGTAGAATATCACGAAACGCCCTAAAATTCCCAAAAGTGCGTGAACAAACGTTGGTAAACGGGGTCATTGACATGTCGTCCGCGTAGGGAACGCCAAAATAGCGCGAAATGCACTCAGAAATAGACCAAGCTGTGTGCAATATTTTTTGTTACAAGTCAGTTTCCGTCGAATTTGGGGAATGTGGCATCGTTTAACGGGGGACTGCGATATTATTCAATAAGTAATCTCCCGGAGTAAACATAGACACAAACCTTAAACGTAAACTCAACAAATAGATCTTGTAGCATTTCTTCGTTCAAGAATTCAAGATTACCACACAACTCTACATTCCGAATACGAGTACATTCATTCAATGTTTTAAGTCAGATTTATCCTCTTTTTGTGGTGTTGTTGAACTATGAAACAAATATATATCAGAAATATAAATCACCATTGCATAAATATTACTAGTGAATATTTCTTCAAAAAATAAAAATAATGATGATATATAACAGAACTATCAAGATACTTTTTCTGCTTAAATAAACCTTTAGTTGTACGAAAATTATAATGAATTGAAAACGAAAATTCTATTAAAACGGAAATAAAATGTAAGGTACGTTTTTCAGAAAACTTCTTTTCCTATTGATTTTCGGCCCAAAAACGTTACAAAATCATAAATAATAAAATGTTATTTCGTCTTCTCTGATATAACGGCGCGATACTATTATGCCAATCTTCATCTATCCAGACAATGATTATACGGGACACGTGGATTGTCATCGGGTTTATAGACGGCAAAGGGGAATAATCGGGTATTAATTCATTGAGAACAATCAATAACACTCAACATAAATGTTATGATAATAGTATGTCGGGAATTATAGAACTGGAAAAGAAAATTTTACTGGAAAAAATATTAAAGTTTAATTTTTCGAGAAAAATTTTTTCTTTGGAAATTAAAATCTGGCAGATTAATGCTTAAAAAGATAAAATTATAATTACTTAAATGTTTGCTATAAATACTTATTACAAAGAAGAGAAAAAAATCAGTTGAGCTTGCTAGTTAACTTTGTACTTTCTACGTTTTCGTTTCGTTGAAATCGAAACCCGCATTCTTCTCTGACAGTGTCCATTTTGCTTTAAAGGTACCTTAATATCTGTCAGTTCATTTAAATAGCAGTGCTATTCTGTAAGAACAAACTCACTTTTCACCGCGGAATTCGCCGGGGTGATTTGAAATTTACTTGAAATTAGTATTCTAATTTCAAATGACAACGCGGATGTCGCAGTGAAAAGTGTGCTTGTTTCTACAGAAGAGCACTGCAGATTGCGGAAGGTTCTGTGCTGGTTCAATTCCAGTCTAGTCTAGTGGCCGTAAAAAAATAAGATTGTAATATACACGTGAAGTGGCTCGAGATCCAGTACGCAAAGTTACGCTTGTAATTGACGACGTCGTTAACTTGGGTTAATTCCCCATTATTTTCAAATTCTGGTGCTATTCTTTGCTTTTACAAAATGTAGGATTATGTTGTTAACCTATATTCATGAATTAAAGTAGTTTAAGAAAGTTTTTTTTAATTAAGTACAATAACATATCTTTAAAGAAACGAAATTTGCGGCTGATACGCTAGCGGGTTCTCACGGATTCGGGTGCCCATAAAATTCCGAAGCAAAAACAATGACATGCAACCACTTGTGCTAGTACTCTTTGAGAGCACTCGAATCAAGTACGCATTTGCATATCGATGACTGATATTGGACCACGCTGTGATTTAAAACCATGCGAAAATATCAGAACACTAAAGGGGAGAATTGAGTGTTATGCGGTCACAGGAATTCATTAGAGTTGTAAGTATCTACAGAATTATCTGTATTTGCATTTAAAATCAGATGACAACTATAATGAACGTCTATTAGAATATGTACTTTACGTATAAGATTACGTAAACAATTGGACAAAAATTATTAATCGGAAACAATCAATAAACAGTTTGTGGATAAGAAAAACAATTTGCAATCGTTTAGTCGCTATGGTAATGTGTGATAACCGCACAACCGTTAATCGATGTTAATTTGACTCGTAACACGCCGGAAAAGCAATGCAAATGTTCTATTGTCCAAATTCTAGTCAGTTGCGACCTTTGGATCGGTTGTTTTGTTAATTACTTTTATTTGTATTGAAAGGAGATTGCTCAGCTTCCATACATGTTTGGCCTAAAGACCAATAATCATGAAAAATTGTTTCCTAGATTCGAAATTATATATAAATTACTGTAGAAACGAATATTATTGACGGACACCCCTGAGAACTTCTATAAACCATATACACTGAACATACTAAAATAATAAAAAACAAATAAGATCTATAGTAAACTAGGGAAATCAAGCCAAGTACCGAAATTATGGATTAGATTCAGGTATATAGAGCATGTAGATTAACAGTAGTTGCCTGTTTTTAAAGTTAATGCATAAGAGTTACTTTTAAAATCAGGTGTCATTTCTGGTCATAATAAGGTACTCTGTGACAGAAACTGTATGACGATTGTGAATGAGCCACAGATTAGAGAGAATTTTTAAACTCTCGTTAACCAAAGAAAGCTAAGAAATTTAGGTTCTATAGCCATATATTCAGTAACTTCATTATTTTTGTTATGTTTTTAAGATAACCATATTTTTGATTTTTAGTGTATCACACCTTGTAATTTTATTTATTTATTAATTTATATTCAGGGAACGTAGGCCCATAGATAGATAGATACCTTACAGTCTAACATATATACAGATTATAATGTGTTTATGGAGGTGTTTGGCGAAAAATGTATGGCAATAGACTTTATGATGTCGCCTACCATCTATAATAATTGTCTGAGCACATTTGCCTCTAGTGAAAATGATAATATAGTTGTGGATATTAATACCACAGTGTAATAAAAAAAAATTTTTATCGATCTTTACAAAATAGATTTGTTTTTATGTTATATAAACAACTTCGATCAGTCTTTGGCTGAATGTTACTACACCCATAGCCATTAAAAATGATTCGTTTGTTTTCCAAACCGGTAAATTTAAAAGTCCTTTTTAAAGTAAATATATTATACAAAGGTGTCCGTTGAAATCTAATGACTGTAAATTAAATTATAAATTACGCCAAGAATTACCGTGTATGTCAATATTTTTTGAGCATTTAGGTCAATTTGAGCAATCTCCTTTGCGCTAAGAGGGCTGTTCGTATTGTTTACGCTACTTGAACTGGCGTTCAAGTGCGAGGTAGTAGTTGTCGTTGGTCTACTGTTATTATAAATTTTGGTGACAATTGGTGAACAATGGCAATGCCGTTGCACAATAGCGTATTATGCTAATACCAGCATAAACAGTGAAGCCACCGATCCCACGACGCACGCGCACAAATACTGCAAGTCGTGCGGGGGATAGGTACATAAAAAACTAATAAAAAAGCAATAATGAGATCCCGCATGTCGGCTTGTTGAGTCCGAAATTGACGCGACTGATGAACCGTAAGGGATAAAATGATCGACAATGAACATTATTGCACGGATGATGCACTCTTAACCATGAACGTCAGGGTACATAACAATGCAACAGCAAATACCAAGGGGAACAAAGAAGTACTTGTCGATACATACAAATACATGTTTTGCTATGCCTTTGATAATTTATTTATTAAAGGCTAAAGTTTATTTGAAAATGTTGATAACACGCAGTAATGGATAAATTCTCTAAAGGAGATTGCTCAGCTTTCATACATGTTTGGCCTAAAGACCAATAATCATGAAAAATTGTTTCCTAGATTCGAAATTATATATAAATTACTGTAGAAACGAATATTATTGACGGACACCCCTGAGAACTTCTATAAACCATATACACTGAACATATTAAAATAATAAAAAACAAAAAAGTTATATAGTAAACTAGGGAAATCAAGCCAGGTACCGAAATTATGGATTAGATTCAGGTATATAGAGCATGTAGATTAACAGATAGTTGCCTGTTTTTAAAGTTAATGCATAAGAGTAACTTTTAATCAGGTGTCATTTCCGGTTATAATAAGGTACTCTGTGACAGAAACTGTGTGATGATTATGAATGAGCCACAGATTAGAGAGCATTTTTATACTCTCGTTAACCAAAGAAAGCTAAGAGATTTAGGTTCTATAGCCATATATTCAGTAGCTTCATTATTTTTGTTATGTTTTTAAGATAACCATATTTTAGATTTTTAGTGTATCACACCTTATAATTTTATTTATTAATTAATTTATAGTCA